GCGCCACCCCGCCTGGTCATATGCCCCACTTACCTTCTTCTTCTCTAGGCCTCCCATGGCTCCACGTTGAAGGGTCTACTAGCGCCCCGTGGGCAGACGGCGCCACTTCCTCCCGCAACGTGCCCCGCTTAGGGTCCCGAGGCCCCTACGCCGCGGGTCTGCGCGGGCTGCCCGATGAGGTGCCTGAGCGAGTCTGGGGAATTATTTGACTTTCCTCCTCGAAATTTACTACTGAACTTTCTGGAAAAAAAATTCACTGAGACCTCTCTTTAGAGTTCTTTTCCATCTGTGGACCTATTTTAGACAGTTTTAATGTTTCAGCGAACGCAGATTTTCAGGCGTTTCTATAGATATCCTGATGACGATCGCTTGACTTTATGAGCCCCGTTGCATGTTGGGATGGAGGGAGGCGGAAGGCCCTGCGGCTGCAGCGCAGTACCTTCTGGGATTCCAAGAACGGCTACACTCTGAGGTGCGTGAGCGGCAGTGGCGTTGTCCCGGTAACGGTTGCTAGGCGTCGTGGGAACTTGGGAATTTGGCCTCCGTGGAGGAAAAGCCACCGCCAGGGGCGCTGAGTGAAGCTGGACTCTGTTCCCCGCTGGCCTGTGTGGGTTTTCCTTTGGTTCTTTGGCTCTTAGTGGGGATAAAGTAGATCAAAAGCAGACTTTTCCTCACAGAAGTATAGTGACTTGAGAAGCCACTCATATATACCGAGCCTTAGCGGTGGATTGAAAAATGGCAAAAGGCCAAGTAGAGTTATGGAACTTGTGGTATTTTAAATGTACATTCAGCACATTTGAGCTTTTTAAATGTACATATGTCTTCCGTATGTGTTCCTCAAAGGATGATTACAAGGTTTATACAAATATTCACACCACCTTCAGATGGTGTGTGATGTGAAATGTTGGGATCTGGGAGCCAACAGTCAAGAAAGAATTCTTGAGATGTCTCTGGTGCAAATAGGTGGTTTTATTAAAACACTGGGCTAGGACCCATGGGCAGAAAGAGCTGCACTGGGTTTGTGAGGAGTGACTGATTATATACTTTCAAGTTGGAGGCAGGGATAGTGTAAGTCTCTAAGGAATTTGGATGCAAGGTTTCTAGGACTTTGAGGGGCTAGCTGCTCTTAAGACAAGGTCATTTACTACTGTCTAGTAAACCCTTAGTCATGAGACCCTTCAGATGTGTATCAGTGGGCCATATGCTTGGAGGATGATTGCTAACATATATCTTGGGGCAGAGGGTAGAGAAAAAGGCAGTTTCCATAGAGATTTTTACATATTAAAGAAGACTTACAGGATCCTGGAGATTTTGGGCTAATGTTAAGATAAGGTTGCCTTTTGTCTCTAGCAAAGTATTAACATCGAGGCAGTTGAGTTCCTGGAGAATGGTCACTCTGCCTGTCTCAAGTACTTGTCAGTAGGCTGTAAGTCATAAGGAAGTTTAATTTTTTTTTCTTTTGCCTTTGTTCTCCAAATCATTGCCCCGCCCCTCCGAATAATCTTGACCCTAAAATCTTTAAGGTTGCTGAGGTTGGAAGGTCTTATCTTCTGTAACTTCTTGCTGAATAGGGGTGTAGAGATGTCCCTACCTATGGTCACTTGGAGACATATATATAGGAGTTATGAAAAGTAGAGACAGCTGAATCTAAGGGAGACTGCATATATGGATCTCCCTGAGTGGAAGGGATCATCTGCCAACTTGACGATATGGCAGTGAAGGAGTCTAGTCACCAGGTGGGCGGTATGGGAGAAAACAGCAAAACATGATTAGAATAACAAAAAGAAGAAGAAGCCCAAATAAGAGTCCTTTGATAGTTGACAAAAATCATCTCCAGTCTAGGAGTTTAACCAATCATTAAAGGAAAGAGAGGGATCGTTTATAAGTGCCCATTTGAGGGGCATCTGGGTGGCTTAGCTGGTTGAACATCTGGCTCTTGATTTCAGCTCAGGTCACAGTCTCACTGTGACTCTGAGCCCCACATCAGGCTCTGCACTGAAAGGAAATTCTCTCTTCCTCTCTCTGACCCTTTTCTGGGCAGTGCTTGCTCTCTCTCAAAATAAACTTAAAAAATAATAAAGTGACCATTTGAGTATTCATGCCAGTTAGAAACACAGTAACATTTTTGTTGCCACAGAATGTGTCCATGGTTGTTTTAAATTAGGAAGGTTGGCTGGGTTGGTAATGGTTTTAATAATGCATCTGTGCATCCAGGCAAAACCCAGAGTACAGCAATCTATCCAGCTTGGGGGAAACCATGACCACAGGTTAGAGCTGCATAGACATTGGGTCTCATTAGGAGCCAGCCATCTAATTCTGGGCCTCCTCGGGATGCAGTCAGGATATCAAGGGTCATTCGGTTTTAGAGGGCCAACTTTTGAACTTGTGGTTGACAACGAGTTGGGTCTGGTTAAAGGCGGCTGTTGTATGCTTGGCTGAAGCCTCTACTTGCAATTTTATATCATTAGAGGCAACTCCTGGGACAAATATGGCTAAGGGATAAAACCATCAAGAAACCTTCTTTGTTTGATGTCTAACTTTAACAATATCCTAATTATGAGGAATCACTGGCAAGTAGGAGAAAACTTGTCTGGGGATATGGGCATCCCCAAGTGCAATATCCAATACAGTCATGAGGAAAGTGGGGCCATCCATTATCTCCACAAGTCCATAGTTAACCCCATGGAGTGAGGTGCACTCCGGCTTTTTGTGGGGAATAAATGTAGGAATCCCCTGGGCTTCACCAGTAGGTTAACAAGGCATAAAGAAATACAAAGCCATAGGATGCTTACACCCGAGTTTGGGTAAATAACATTGGCAACCTGGAATAGGGAGGTGCAAAGGCACCCCCAAATAGAGGAGGTACAGAGCCCCCAGAATAGAGAGGAAGGGGCACAAAGGCACCCAATACAAAGGTATATGAGGTAAACAAGATTAGGTGTTCAGGATGGAAGCATCCCCCAATTTAGTACTATAGCAAAAAGCTGCTTTCACAGGAGGAAAGGACGAAGTTAGGTAAACTGGTAAATTGAGCTACAGACCTCTGCACTGCAGGTGAAGCAGCCCAGAGTGGAAATGGTTAACAAAAGAAAAGTTGTCTTGTTAACCCTCAGGTTATTCCCCCTATCTGCCTTATCCCCTAGGCTAACTAAGATAAACAGACAGGGTGCCTCCTGTCTGCTGTTAACAACAATCTGCCCATTTGCTTGGTGCCAGGATTTTGTTTTATATTGACCCAAACCCCAAACACCATATATCTTCAAAACCCCCTTTCCCCTCACATCCCCAAGTTGATGTTCCTAGTTTCTTTGTCTCTTTATGCACATCCATCACGTTTGTAAGCCTTCTGATCTTAATAAATAGAGGGCAAGGACCCTTATTTGGGGCTCTTGTCTTTTCCAGGACATTAGCCATCTCTCACTTTTAATCCTGTGTTCTGCTCTCTTGCTAGACAAGAGAGAATTTTAGACCCAGAGTCTACAACAGCTTTTAAGAAGTGATTTTTTCATCCCAGCCACACAGAATTGGTCAAGATGATAGTTGAGTTATGCAATTGTTGAGGAATCCCTCCCATTTTCTGGCTATTCAAATAATCATATGCCCATGGGGTCCTGTTATTATCCCCACAGAATAACAAACATGAAGATTGTCTATACATGAGCTATTGTGGCAATTTTTTGGAAGTTTACCTCAAGTTGTCTACCTTAGACAACTAACAAATATTCAAAGACAATCAAAACTAGAATTTAACATCTGCAAAGGTGTGTTCCTGAAACATAATTTTTCTTTAAATTCACCCTTATTTCCAGAGATAGCCAAATCAAGACTAATTTGTTTGTAAAACAAGTCCAATTTTAACCAACTTGGCCTAATTGTTTACATAAGTTCGGCAAGAATAGTGATTGATCGTACAGATCTTTCAAAATCTGTTTGGCTGGAACTTTTTTTCTTTTTCTTTTTTTTCCTTTTTTTTTTTTATTAATCAACTTTTCTTATTTTCTATTTTTTACAGTATATTTATTTTTGAGAGAGAGTGACAGTGCGTGCATGAGCAGGGAAGGGGCAGAGAGAGAGAGGGACAGAGGATCCAAAGAAGGCTCTGTGCTGACAGCAGTGAGCCCAACATGGGGCTCAAACTCATGAACTGTGAGATCATGACCTGAGCTGAAGTCGGACACTTAACCAACTGAGCCACCCAGGCGCCCCTGGCTGCAGCTTTAATAAGGAATCTAGATTAAACTTTTAGTAGCCCCTCTAGGCCAATAGCCAAGCTGAACACTTGCCATCAGACATACTTGAAAGAGCTGTAGATTTGGGCAAATTCCTCTTCTAAAGATCCCCACAATATCCTGAGGTTTCTGTACCTGCCAGGAAGTGACATTCTTTACTTACCTGGTAAGTCTGCTGGGAACTCTATAAGCAAGGTATCAGGCCAACATTTCTAAGGGCTTTATTGACTCCATAAAGCCAACCTTAATTCCTTAAAGTCATCTGGTCATATCTGAGTCTATGCATGTCTCTCTCAAATATGACATTCCAGTCAAAGCCTTGGTTTAAAAACAACAACAACAACAACAACAACAACAACAACAACAACAACAACAAAGCAGTGTTTCCAGTGGTGTCTTGTTACAAGGAGAACAGCTTCTTACTGAACTTATGCAAAGGATTATAATTGCCATGGGGGAAAAATACTGAGACTTTTTGAATTTCAGAGGGTTCAGGTAGGGAGAAAAAGTGCTTCCATTTGTTCACAAATGAATACTTTCATTACATTTTTGTAAGTCATAGTTATCGTAAGAGAAAGTTTCCTTAATCAGGAGGAGCCAACATTAGAGAACCAGCAGTGTTTCAAACAAGAGTCACAACAACTGTAATCCTCTTCCTTAATTCATTTAGTCCCATGTTACTAATTCTTGTTCAGTTTGAATGCAGCTTTTTAGTTAGTTCTGGAAATTATTCCCCACTTCAGTTTTAGGATCATAAAGATACCAAATACCTGTATTTGTCAAAAGACCTTTTTATGAATCTCCTTGGAGATTAAACACGTTTCACAAATGACAAAAGGACTATAATGCAATTGACAAGGAAATTCAGTTATTGATATTCTTCAATAATCAGAATATCAAGTGCTGACCTTATACCAGAACATAACATACCAAATAAACAAGCCTAATTAGTCAGAGACTGAGCTTAAGATTTAAATCTTGGGGAAGTTTGTTTAAAAACCTCAGAACGTTTTAAAGCACAAGCCTAAGTAGGATTAGGAATCATCAAAGACCTGATAAAAACAAAACATAGAAACTGGTTTTTCTGGGCAGCCAAAGAAAAAACAACTTTGTTTACATTTTCTTGCCAAGAACAGATCAGTAATCCAAGAAAACCTTGTCTTTTTAACAGGAGAAAGCAGATTTTCAGTCTTATACAAGTGTACTTTTAAAATCTATTCATTTCATGGGAGCCTGGGTGGCACAGTCCGTTGGATGTCCAACTTTGGCTCAGGTCATGATCTCACGGTTTGTGGGTTCGAGCCCCATGTTCGGCTCTGTGATGACAGCCTGGAGCCTGCTTTGGATTCTGTGTCTCCCTCTCTCTCTGTTCCTCCCCCTCTGGCTCTCTCTCTCTCTCTCTCTCTCTCAAAGGTAAATGAAGATTTTAAAAAATTGTTTTTTAAATCCATTCATTTCAATCTAGTCCATCCTGACCACACATAAAATTCCTTTCCAAAGATTTGCCTTCACAAACCTTCTACAAGTTGCTTTTGTATTCAGATTTTGCCCCAATCCATTTCTCTCCAAACAGCCAGTCTCATTTTAGGACAAAATTACTTTCTTTTTCCTTCAACAAAAATGTATTCCTGTTCCTTATATCTTTCTCATACATCTCCTACTTTCCCTACATACAGAGTTGCTTCCCTTATATCTATCAGTCTTAATTACATTTAGCAGAATTTTAACTCTTAGAAATCTTAGTCTCCAGTGAAAACTAAGTACTAATCAATTGTGAACTGTCTGTTGTGCCAGAATTCTTTAGATAGCAAATTTATGAATACATTTAAGCACAAAGCATGTTTTCCAACAGACCCAAATATCCTTAGTTTCTTTGCAATAAGAAGCCAAAAGCACAAACCTACATGCAGGAATCCGTGCTTTAGCACTCCCTCCTATTTGGAAAAGGTCTAGATGTCCAATGAATTCAATCCAATTTATCACCCAAGCAAAACTTTAAAGTTTCAGGTTGCCAAAGACTATCTTAATTACCCATGAAAACATTGAGACAGACAAAATTAACCATTTTAAGTCACTGTTTTGCTGACAAATTGCAACAGGTAACATGAGCTAATTTGACCTTCAGTAAACCAGGGTAGAATAAAAGTTTCAAATTTAATGCTGATAACTCCAAAGACATGTCTATCTTAATTAAACCAACAAACTTAAATTAGTTTAAATACCAAATATGTTCCACCTGGGTCTCCTTAAAAGTCAGTCAATTTGTTCCCCAATGTCAATTTTACCTGGGGCACCAGTGGGGAAATCTGAAGTGGGTGGAGTTCACCCACTTCAAGGGGGTGCTCTTCACTCCTTGACAGTGAGGGTAGGAGGAGGAGCCCATGGTGCCAGAGGCATGCCGAATGGTACAGGAGCCAGTGATGCAGACTACACCCAACGTGGTACAGAAACAGGAAGAGAGGGAGAGGGAGGCAGAAGAAGTGAGGGGCTGCCTGAGAGCCAGAAAGAGGACTT